GCGATGATCATCCTTCCCGTCAGGATCCCAAGTGGTTTCCCAACTTTCTATCGTCATACCCGGGGAGTGAATCCTTCTGCTTGTTGCTTGTAACAAATAATACTAATATATTATATAGTGTGTACGTATTCTATCTAATACGTTTAAAATACTAATAAGCTATAATAACTCTAATATAATCTATAGCCTGTAAGTTCTCTATAGCTATAGTTAGATATAGCTAGATATTAGCTACTAGTAATAATACTAATATATTGTTAGCCTGTAAGTGTTATATTTTTTTAACTTAAAAGTCGAGCTAGTAAGAATAATATATAGTATAGGGTTCAACCGCGGTAAGTTTAAAACTTATATTAAAATAAGCTAATTTACTTTAATAATAATCTATTTCTTAGCAAGTAAGTTTTATTTCTTTATAATAAGAAAAATACTTGTTAGAAAGGTACTAATATTTAATATAGTGTGTAAGTGTTCTAAACCTACATCTTAGTAAAATAACTGGCTATAATTATACTAAGACGTATTATAGTGCGTAAGTATTATTTTCTCTATATAGGTAAATATATCTAGGTTTATTTAAACTAATATACTCTGTAGTGTGTAAGTATTCTATCTAGAGATTTCCTATAATTATTTAACTATAGTTTGGTTAATATATAAAATAGCTTGTAAGTATTCTACACTATATAATTACAAGGCTAGTAATCTAGTAAAAGTAAAACTAAATCTTTATATAGTAGGTAAGTGTTATATATTTATATATCTAGGTTAACTAGCTTATATACTAAGATACTATCTCTATATAGTTACTTTAGGTTAATCTTGGAGGATAGTTAGCGCTCGATCGTTGTATGGAGTTCTCTATAGAGTTTAAGCTCGGCCGATCGTTCGCGGGATCCATTCTCTATCTATTTAATAAAAATTATTTTTATATCAGTTTTTATAACGTGTGAAGAGTAGCAAAAGGCAGAGTAACGTAAGAAATGCAAAGAGAATGAAAAGGAAAAGATCTCCAAAAGTAACTCGTGAGTTCTATTGTCTTGAAAGCGAACGGCTGCGATGTTTAACCCGCATTCACCGTCACTGCTGCTCATACTGCTCTCTATTCCTATATCTGCTCAAACACCTCACGTGCTTTCTAGGGACACATCGCTACCCACTGTCGCTACCGCTCCATCTTTTGGATTTATATTTCCCCACTGTTAAGGCTTCTTGTGCCTCATTGGGCATCTGTACCCTTTCCGCGCCATTCGTTGCTCGTCTCGGGGTGCTCCTTTGTATCCTCGACTCTTTCATGGTATGTGACACAGCATCAACCCCCCAGTCATCATCGTGCCTTCGTACGACGCCCATGGCGCTTCCCACTTGTGTCCCTGCGACTCCCACTTCCTTTCACCTCCTCTACAGGGTACGTTCGACAACTCGTTGACTGACACCAACACTACGAGCGTCTACCGCATTCGGCACAAGCTGCACAAAGTAGGGCGCCCAGTGGAATAAGGCACAAGTGCTAACGCCATCTGTTTGCTGATCTCTTTAGGGAAGGAAACAACTCATGGCATCTACGCCAGGACATAACCAGCCAGTGCGGGACAATAAGTGGCTCAGACGGACACGTTCGACTGCAGGCGTAGAAGGAGGAGCTACGGTAACTGAGAGGGCGACATGGGATCAGAGCAGATCGGTGTTGGCAGAGCAACCCTTGTCATCCATACTACTACTACCCTTTACCCCTGCCGTATCCTCGCCGCTCAATCCCACAAGACTCAGGGCAGCAAGTCCGGTGCAGTCGAGCGACAGGAGGCAGCCGGAATCTGATTCTGCTCAAACAGCCTCACCACGGCCTTACTTGCGATTTCCGCCCAGTCTTTATCTGCGATCAAAGACAAGAAGTACACCAGACCTCCACACTCAAGCGTCACGCTCTCCCAGCACACCACTCACGGTAAACGACTTGGGAACCGATTACACGCGGTACTTTAAGCCCTTCTCAGATGGCATCAAAACTTCCAGTCGTAGCCGGCGGACTTCTGTCTCAGAGAGGCGATCCCGAGTCAAGCTCGCCCTTACCACCCCACCACCACGAGTCACATCCGTCAATCCCTTTCTCACACCTGTTGCTCCCGGTACAGGAGCCTCTCAAGGGTCAAGTACTTTATACGACGTAGAGAGGAATGCATCTTTTATGGATGACCGCTTGGTTGCACCTTACGAAGAAAAGGGAATGGCATCCTGGCCATTGGTGTGCGATCAAAAAGAACCAGACGATGAAATGCATTTGCCTCGCGATGACGATGACATACGATTTAGGCCAAGGATAAGGGACTACTTTACTAAGGACAGCATCGTCTCCACCATCGGATTGGTCCTTGTGATATCTGGGCTGATGTTCATATTTGTCGGATTACCCGTCCTCTCTGCCGTGGGTCTCATTGATTATAATTCGGCATATGGTATGCCGCTGAGTATGTTGCCCTACTATTGGGTACCTCATACCTGGGCTACAGTGAATAACAGACGATACCCGCTGCTGGTTAACACGAGAAAAGGCCTGATCGACCCCGACACGCCCAAGACCGTGAAGACGAGAAAGGGCGAACACGGTGACGATTACATACTCGTATTTAGCGACGAATTCAACGAGGACGACCGGTCATTCTATGAAGGAGATGATCCTTACTTCTTCGCCCCCAATATCTGGTACGGAGCCACGCAAGACCTCGAGTGGTATGACGCCGATGCTGTGACCACTAGTCATGGATCGCTTCAAATGCGCTTGGAAGAGTTCTTCAACCATGAACTCAAGTTCAGGTCAGGCATGTTGAATAGCTGGAACCAATTGTGCTTCAAAGGGGGCATCTTTGAGGTTTCGGTATCCTTGCCTGGGCCAGCAGGTGTTCAAGGACTTTGGCCTGGCGCATGGACAATGGGCAATCTTGGTCGACCTGGATATCTAAGTACCACGGACGGACTTTGGCCCTATACTTATCAAGCCTGTGATGCTGGCATCACACCCAATCAGTCCAGCCCTGATGGACTGTCTCACCTACCTGGCCAACGACTTCCATCATGCACCTGTCCAGGTGAAGATCATCCCACACCTGGAACCGGAAGAGGTGCGCCAGAAATCGATGTCATTGAAGCAGGAGCTTTCCCAGGCTACCCAGGACCTCAAGGATTGCCCATAGCAACGCAAAGTTACCAAGTTGCCCCGTTCGATATCAACTACTACCCAAACTATAACTTCACGGCGTTTCCAGACCTGACTTTGAGTGGGTTGAACACGTATACCGGTGGTCCCTTCCAGCAGGCCATCTCTGCGACGACGGTGCTCAACAAAGACTGGTACGACAATAAGCAATACCAGCGATTCTCCTTTGAATATGTGCCCGGACAGGGTAAAGAGGCCTACATATTGTGGAAAGTAGGCGATCAGACAATGTTCTTGCTGGATGGCCGGGCGATTGGAGCCAATGGCAATATACAAGCCCGTCAGATATCGGAAGAACCTATGTCACTGGTTCTCAATCTCGGTTTCAGTAATTCGTGGACGTATATCGACTGGAAGAACTTGGTGTTTCCGACAACAATGCATGTCGACTATGTGAGATGGTACCAGAAGAAGGGCGAGAAAATGGTGACGTGCAATCCTCCAGGCTTCGAAACGACAGAATACATTGAGAAGCATGCAAAAGCCTACCAAAACCCAAACTACACTGTAAGCGTCTAGTAGAGCGATGCCGAGAGACGAGTGACTAATGCGAATCAGTTGTGGGACCAAACGGGCTATGTCTGGCCCAAAAATCAGCTCAACAGCGAGTGCTGATGATCCAGGGCCTTTCTTTTGCAATCATTTCCATAATGACATGCATAACTACGGTACAGGTTTCTACTTCCCGACGGTTCATAGACGTTTCGGCTGCGTACCACACCATGATAGCCGGATGCCCCTTTCCTCTGTTGAATCATGCGGTTGTATCTTAGAGGAGTGGGTCACTGGCAGTACTTAGGTACCATTTGCTGATTATTGCATGAAGCGGAGTGCGAATACCTTTTGCAGCGACATGAGAATCATGGTTCATGTTAATGGGTGACATTTAATGGCGAGCATGATCAGATTGAGTTTTGTTAACGAAGAAGTTCAGCGTTACTGTAGTAGTTCCACGCATCTGGAAGAATGAAATAAGCCACCAAAATTTTCACTCGTGTTTCTCCTGCGAACATTTGTGAGGCAATGTAATGTTAACATGCCAATGTCTGATCGAGACAATGGCTAGTTTTGATCAAGCCCACAAATGTACCTAACCTTTGTCCATATCGGAACATTGGCCGTTATTCGCAACCTTTGTCATCAAGTAAAATATTCAGTTTACTATGTATACTCATGCCGTACTCCCACTGCTGAATACTTTGCCAAAGGCGTCGCCTTCTTCCATGCTCAACCCTTCATCCAAGATGTCATGCGCCATGTTGACAACCTCGTCTTCGATGCCAGACTCCAAGACCAAGCCTTCACTGAAGGCTAGTCGTGTCAGGGCAACAAGATAGGCATGCTGCCCGCCCAGTGTGTTGACCAGCTTGGTTTTGATGTCGAATTTGGGATTTGATGTGGCTATGTGGTGGATGAGCTTCATGGTTGCGTTGATGGAGTTCACCTTGTAGTCTTGGGTGGGTGCAACTGGGTGACGGTAGAGGCTTGTTATGCAATGGTCGAGATATTTGATGAGCCGGCCAGTACACAGTCGGTTTTGTGCTAAGCGACAGGACCCATATTCAAATATGGAAAATTGCGTGAGCACTGAGAGGACAAGGAGGCGCAGGTCCCATAGCTCGGCCTCGGACACTGGTACGGTGTTTGTAGGTGATGCGGAAGGATCCGGCACAGGCTTAGGTGTCTCGGTGAAAAGGTTGGTGAGACGATTGATTAGAGCGTCTTCATTGCTTGCTTGGTTATCTGCAGCGGGATCTGCCGTATTAATAGGTCCAACTGAGGTGGTGAGAGCAGATGTGCCCAATATGCGTAACATGAGAGTCATTTGCGCCACAGGCTGCTCTTTGACTAGGAGCATTAACGTAAAACTAGAGGGTATTGCTTGCCACAGGCCGACGATGGCTCCGGTATCTGATGAGGATAGACAGCTAGTTGCTACTAAGTAGAGCAGCTCGAGACAGTCTTCCACGTTAATGTAGGCAGCAATTTGGCGCTGTTTTGGTGAGTACAGATCTGCGATTGCCTTATCACCCCCTCTGGCTGCTTTGGATATGGGGTCAGCCACAAGATCAACAGAAGCAATGATGAGTGGGACAATGCGTTGGGCAATCTCTACAGCAGTCTCGACTGGCTCGCATGCGAGGATAAAATGTAGCGCATCGAGGATCAACGGAGTAGGCTCGTAGTACTTTTCGGTTTGACATCTTTTCCAGAGGTCGAGAAAGACATGGCACAGGTGCAAGGCCAAGTCATGGACATGATCGATAGTCATGTTTGCTAGCGCATCGTACACTATCGACGACAATTTCTTAGTGGGGGTGGAGGGAAAGGCATACTTGGTCAGTGCCTCAAGTACGCGGTCTGTGTCAATGGAGGATGGATAGGAAAGCAGGCGGTGCAATAGGGCGAATCGACGGTCGTCGTGTCTGAAGTGCTGGAGCAGTGCCGTATCTATCTTGGCTTGGGCTGCTAGCGGCGGTTCCCGCTCCTTGGGTCGACTACGCGGCCCGCTCAGCTGTAGGGCGGGCAGTGGTAGGGGACTTTGGTCAGTGACATGCCGCTTGCGCTTCCCGGCCTTGGGAGTAGCAGTCTTTGGTCTGTCGCGATGTCTGGATGGCGATGCCATGACGACGTCGTCATCGTCGAAGCCGTCGGCTAGCGGGCCTCTTGCCGTGTGTGCTCCCCTAGGCGTGCCTGCGGGACTGGCGGATGGCAGGGTTGGCGTTGGTTTTGAGGGCACAATCCGTGCTGTTCTTCGTGGGATGCCAGCCTCGCGCGCCTCATACTGGTGGAACATGGTGTCTGTCTGGGCCGACTCTGCCTCGCGGCGCAGACTGTCCATCTCTGCGCGTAGCCTGGCCAGCTCTGTGCCATGGGCATGTTGCTGGTCGGCCAGCTGGCGCTCGTATCGTTTGGCATCGATGTCATGGCGTCTTCGAAGGATGTCAGCTTCACCGGACTTGGTCTGCAGCTTTTCCCTGAGCGCGTCGGCCTCTCGTGTCTGGCGGGCCTGGTCTTGCTCCAACTGCGGGCATCAGCAAGGTCAGGGGAGCACGCGGGCGGTGCACAAAGGGTATCGCACCTGAGTGATGCGCTGGAGCAGGTGGTGGGGATCAGAGTGCTGGCCGTGTGCACCGGCGGCAGCGCCGTCGTCGTCGTCGGCGAGCCGGGGCTGTGAATGCAGCGGCGCCTGGGCTGTCACGACCCAGGGCGAGGCGGGCGGCGGGCCAGAGGCATCGTTCAGGTCGACAAGCTCTGCGCCGTCATGGTCGTCATTGTCGAGGCCATAGTCGGAGGCGGGTGCTGGGTGCTGGGTGGCGCGTAGGGCATTGGCCTCGAGGTGGTGCAGCGTGTTTGCGGGGAGGTGGTCGAGGTCGTCGTCGTCGAAGCCGTAGTCGTCGTCGTCGTCGAAGCCGTAGTCATCGTCGTCGTCGTCGTGGCCGGGCATGGTGGCTCCATCGGGGCTGGGCTGGGGCGTATGCTTATTAGTCGTGGTGGCATTAGGCCGTCGTCGCTAGACGGAGGCGCAGCCATGACGTCTGTCCGTTGCGACTTGTCCGCTGCAATTTCACAGCCTGCCTGCTAGCAATAGGCAAACCCTCGCTCGCACGTCTGGCCCACCACCGCGCCCTCGACCACCCCGCCGTCGCATTCACCACACGCCCACGCCCACCACAACCTCGACTCCCACACACCCCGCCATCACCACCGCCATCGCCATCACCGCCCCCTCCCTCTCGCTGCAGGCTTCCACATAGCTGCTGCCGCCATCACCACCCGCCCGCGCTGACCATGGCGCGCCCTCGCAAGGACGTCAAGTTCCAGCATCAAACGCGCAGTGCCAGCAATGGACGGGCTCGTCGGCCCTCGCAGTCTCTGTCCGAGTTCAGCGACCCCGGAAGCCCAACCACCATCAAGGAGGAAGCGGCTCCCCCAGTACGCTGGCCCGTCTCTCGCCTCCGCCCTCGCCCTGCTAACCAGCCCAGGCCCCCGAACAACCCCCTCAAACAGAGTACGAGAAGAAAAAGGCAAACTTCATCACCCGCACCATATGGACCCTCGTCATGATTGCCGCCTTCTTCTGGGCTCTCGGCGCTGGCCACCTCTTCATCATCATCATGGTCACCGCCGTCCAATGCATATCCTTCAAGGAGGTCATTGCAATCGCAAACGTGCCCAGCAAGGCCCGCAGCCTGCGCTTCACAAAGTCGCTCAACTGGTACTTTCTCGGCACCGCAATGTACTTTTTGTACGGCGAGAGCGTCATCTACTACTTCAAGCACATTTTGATGGTTGACCGACTGCTGCTTCCCTTGGCTACCCACCACCGCTTCATTTCCTTTATGCTCTACATTATCGGTGCCTGAGCCCCTCCCTTTTCTTCCGTCTTGTCGAGCTAACCCAGCCAGGCTTCATCTTTTTTGTCTTCTCCCTCCAAAAGGGCCATTACAAGTTCCAGTTTACCCAATTTGCATGGTCCCACATGGCTCTGTTCCTCATTGTCGGACAAGCTCACTTTGTCATCAACAATATTTTCGAAGGTTTCATCTGGTTCATCCTCCCCGTGTCCATGGTCATCACAAACGACATTTTTGCCTATCTCTGCGGAATCACGTTTGGCAGGACTCCACTGATCCAAATCTCACCCAAGAAGACGTGGGAGGGATTCCTGGGTGCCTGGTTCTTTACCGTCCTCTGGGGTGTCGCCGTCACTCATTTTGTCTCCCAGTACAAGTACTTCATCTGCCCTGTCAACGACTTGGGTGCGAACATCTGGTCCGGCCTCGAGTGTAGACCTAATCCCGTCTTTGTTGCGCGCGACTACACGATTCCCTTCCTTCCCGAGGGTCTTCCGTTCCCCCGCACCTTCAACATCATGCCCGTTCAGTTCCACGTCATTATGCTAGGAACGTTTGCCTCGCTCATTGCACCCTTCGGTGGCTTCTTCGCCTCTGGGCTCAAGCGAACATTCAAAATCAAGGACTTTGGTGATTCCATTCCTGGACATGGCGGGATGACTGACCGCATGGACTGCCAGTTCATCATGGGATCCATTGCATTCTTCTACTACTCGAGTTTCATTGCTGTCCACCACACGACTGTCGGCGGGGTGATTGAGTCTGCCATTACTGGACTTAGCTACGAGGAGCAGATGGAAGTTGTCAAGATCTTGAGCAAGCACCTGGTCAACCAGGACATAATATCACCAAAGGTATGTTTCTCCTTCTGTCAAGCCCACGTCTTGCATACTCACTTTACCATTATAGGTGCTTGAACTTCTCTCCGAGCAAATGGTGCGGAGATGAACGCAAAATGTGGATTTAGCTTAATCATTTAATAGAGTGTTTACTGGTCCAAGAGGAGGTTTGGGGGGGAAGGCATCAAATTTGGCGCTGCCAAGTAAAGGCAGCTCGAATTTCGAGAGGCATGGCATACGGCTTTAGCCGCGGGCGGTAGGTATTGGTAATCGGGCGCATATACCCTTTTTCTGCAGTCTGGCGTACACTTGAAACACGGGTTTCTTCGTGGCGCGCATCAACGTAGCATACAAGTAGTAATATTCTTTACAATTTGCCTACTAGTAGAAGCTCGAAGCTCCTAGTGAGGTGAGGCATGACGGACGTGCGCAACCGAGGCTTGCGCGCACGGGCCCCATCTTGCAACTCAAGTTTTGGGCCTGTTCAGATAGGCAAGGCATCACATCAACGCCGATGCCACCACGCCCATTTGTGAACGACCGACTATGGAGTTGTCTCTGTCCCGGCTTCCCGCCCAACTCGACGGCAAGCGCCACGGTAGCAACATGGGCTAGACGGCCACAGCGCAATGCGACACTGAATGATAGATCAATCTACCCCCGCAACCAGCCGCGTGCCTATACTCTGTCCAGCACATGTCGCGCGGCCAACGAGTCCTTCTTTTCGCAGCCTGGCGTTGCGCCAGCTGGGTTCCGGCCTTTTGGCGAGCAATCCCACGTTCCTCAGCCCGTCAGTTCCCGGCAAAAGCCTTCGCTCGCTCAGCTTCCGACCGACCTTCTCTACGACCATGCCCGAGCCGAGGGCGCCAAAGGCCATTGGGACGAGGTCATGAACATTTGCAGAGTGTTGATCAAAGACAGAGGAGAGCAGCCAAATAGGGAAATGTACACGGCCTTACTGCATAGCTTTGTCAGCTCCAAGGATGGCACAGCCGGCAAGCTGCGCAAAGTGCTCGAAGAAATGGGATTTTGGAGCCAGACGGATGCATCCCTGTTTGGGGCCCCGAGGATTGAGCTTGACGCTCGTGCGTGCGAGTGTGTGCTCGAGGTGCTGGCGGTGCATCCTGACTACCTTTTGCGCTCCGAGATTCTCGAATACATGAAGTCGCGCTGGCTCACCCTTTCCACTCGCGGGCAGAACTTTGTCGTGGCAGGGTTGTTGCGAGAGCGCCATTTCGAGCAGGCGCTTGATACAATGGAGGACATGATCAGGAACAACATACGTGTGGAGAATTGGCTGTTCGACGAGGCCATGTGGATTCTATTGGAATTCAAGGAAGTGGAAGAGGCGTTCTATGTTCTGGGCCTCAAGGAAACAGTGCAAAACAAAGGCAGTGGCACTGGGACTGCTAAGGTGAGTGATGCGCTTTTGGGCGCATTGCTGGACGCGGCGGCAGAGAGTCAGCTTGTATGTGTAATACAAATCCAACAATCAACCCATGGCATAATGCTGATCCCGCGCAGCACGAAGAAACGGTCAAAGTGTGGATGACCCAAGTTCAGCCAGGCTACTTGAAACCGGGTACTGGCACCTGCATGTCTGTTCTTGCACTTGCTTCTCACAACGGAGACGTCGAACTTGCCACCGACGTCTTTCGTCTGCTTACCGAACGTGAAACCACTTTTACGACTCACCACTACGAACTCATCATGTCTACTCATCTGCAAGCCAAGGATGTTGAGGCTGCTGTATCCGTGATTCTCATCATGGTAGATGCCAACGTCAAGGTCGATGCTGCAACGTGCCAGCCACTGTACCATTACTTGTCTATTGATACAGGTGATGGAGCCAGCCGCTCGTTGGAAGCCTTTGCCCTCCTCCAGGACTTTGAGGCTGCTGGTCGCAGAGTGCCTACAGCGGCGGTCAATGCGTGCATCCAGGCTAGTCTTGCCCTGGGTCGCCTTGAGGAGGCGATTGAGATATACAAAGCCCTTCATACCGTTTCACGCGCAGGGCCCAATACCAACACATTCAACATCCTCTTCAAGGGCTGCCACCAGTTTGTACGCAAGGAACTGGCAATGTTCTTGGCAAACGAGATGATGCAGCTTGGGCTGGCACCTGACCGCATTACCTATGATCGGCTCTTGCTGGTCTGCTTACGATGTGGCGACGTGGAAGATGCGCTGCTATACTACGAGGAGATGATGTCGTCGAGCGACGGTGACGCACCGATGAAGCCCCGAAAGAAGACTTGGGAGCTCCTCATACACGCTTGTGTGCAAAAGGGTGACGAGAGAGCAGTTGCGCTTCTTAGCGAGTACAAACGAGAGATTGACGAGCCCCGCATGTCAGTGGAGAAGGCCGTTTTCGACCGTTTCGAGTACGGAATGCTGCCGATGCCCCGAGCATCTGGAGCGGGAGATGTCGAGTCTGGTCGATTCCATGCTATGGAAGATCAACACGTCAGGCCAGCGGCAGAGGTGACACCATCCCCAGGACCTGGTGCCGACACAGGACGATCGGGGGCGAAAGATGGGTTTTTGCACCGAGGCAACGAGGCCGGTGCGAATGCGGAAGCGGAGAGCGCCGATCTCGAGGGCGCACAGTCCACTGCAGCAGCTAGCGAAGACACAAGGCCAGCCTAAGAGGGAAGGCAGCGCGCGAACCTTTTGGGCGCCCCAGTGGCTTGATAAGATGCCGGGGGCTATGATTAAGTAGATGGGCATTCACCGGATTCGCCAACAGACTTGCTTGGTGTGCCGGTGCTGCAGCCCGTGTACATGGTGTGTGAGTATGTACGTAGGTGTAGTCAGTCGTATCGCCATGTTCACGGTGAGCGTGGGGGAATATACGTCACAGCGTCAATGATAAGTATTTTGGTATGTAGTATGTACAAAGTACGTGCGCACGCGTGGGGTCATGGCATATCGAGGCCGGCCGGTCTGGCGGCGATTATTCACGAGATGCAAATTCGTCCTCGCACGAGCGTGCTATCTCTCAACCAGGGCCATACAGGTGGGGAGGAGCGGAGGAAGACAGCTGCCGAGGCCGCGGGCGTCAGCGAATAGGAGGCTGGGCAAATCAAGGTTTTCAAGCACACTAGCTCCCTCTTGGAGAAGCTTAACTCGTACCGCAGAGCCGCAGCCTCAACCGCTCCACTGCACGCCTCGACTTTGCCAATAGCGTTGCGGCCTTTTCCACGATCCTGCCCCCTAGCCGCTCGACACGATACCACCACCCAAGCCGAGCTATAGCCGTCGACGCGCCCTGTCTTTTTTTTTCCTTGCTGGCCTGCTTTCAAATGCCGTAGATGCCGACTCCACACTGGCAACCCGGGCGTCACTCTTCCGACCGGTGTGTATGGGCTTATGCCTGAAACGGCCATCGGAGCCTGCTAGCATGCTGCGTCTCCGGTAGTTGGTTTGACCCCAACATGTGGGGACTGAAATGTCGAATGATGCACTGACTGGAGTCTCCATGATGGCACCCACACAATGGTACTGGCATTGTGGGGAATGGTTCTGGAGTACAAGTAGGGACTTCTCTCCCGACCCCTTCTTCTCCTCCAGTCCCTTCTTTCCCCTCTTGTACCTTGACCCCTTCCATCTTCGACCACAATGGGACTCAGCGGCAAAACCCTCCAGACGGCCCAGCTTTTGCTCGTTGTCCTACCGGCCTTTGTGCTGTTTGGGTACAACCAGTCCGGCGTAGGTGGTCTCCTCTCCCTCCGGGACTGGAACGACCACTTCCCCGAAATCAATACCATCGATACCCATGGTGCTGAGAAGAGCAGCAACTCTACCAAGCAGGGCGCAGTCGTTGCCAGCTTCACCATCGGTGCCCTCTTTGGTGCTCTGTCCTGTTCCTGGATCGGAGACTACCTCGGCCGACGAAAGCTCATCTTCTTGGCTGCAGGTCTGACGCTTGTTGGCGAGATACTGCAATGCACCAGCTTCCAGCTTGCCCAATTCGTTGTCGGTCGCTTCATCCTCGGATGGGGCGTGGGTGCTCTGAGCGCCACCGTCCCAGTCTGGCAATCCGAGTGTTCATCGTCTGCCAACCGCGGTAAGCACGTCGTGCTGGACGGATGCTTCATCTCTCTGGGCTACCTTCTTGAAGCCTGGATCAACTTGGGTTTCTTTGAACAAGACAATCTGCCCTTGCAATGGCGCATTCCTCTCGCTATCCCGACTGTCATCTCCATCATTCCCATGTTGGCGGTTTTCAGCATCCCTGAATCACCTCGCTGGCTTGTAGCCAAGGGCCGTGTCGAAGACGCTCGTGTCAGTCTGTCCAGCTTCAAGGGTCTGGATCTGCACGACCCTGAGATCACTGCCGAGATTACTGGCATTGAGATCGCGCTCGAGGAAACTGGCCGCAGCGCAGCAAAGATGAGCGACATCTTCACCATGGGCAAAGACAAGCTATTCTACCGCTTTGCTCTCTGCATTTTCCTCCAATTCTTGCAGCAGATGTGTGGCAGCAACCTCATCTCCACCTACTCAACTGTAAGTTTAATCAGTTAAGCCTTATTCATCATCATCGTGTTAATGTATTGTGGTAGATTATTTTCCAGCAAGGTCTAGGCCTCAATAGCGAAACCTCGCGCATCCTTTCCGGTGGTGCGTTGACCTGGAAATTCCTTTCCTGCTTTGTCGCCTTCTTCACCATTGACCGCTTTGGACGTCGCAAGCTTTTCATGTTCAGCGGCGCCGGCATGGCCTCTTGCATGTTGGCACTAGCCATCGCATCTAGCTTCCCTAAGACGAACCAGGCTGCCCAAATCGCCTCTGCATTCTTCGTCTTTCTCTTCAACTTCTTCATCCCTATCGGCTTCCTTGGCGCAAACTTCTTGTATTGCACCGAAGTTGCGCCAACCCGGCTCCGCGTGCCCATGGCTGGTATCTCAACTGCGAACCATTGGCTTTGGAACTTTGTCGTTAACATGGTCACTCCTGTACGTACACGTCTTCTGTTTTGTACCTTGATTCCTGCTAACGCCCAACACCAGGTGGCGATTGAGACCATTGGATGGAAGTACTACCTCGTTTTCCTCATCATCTCCGCCATTATTCTCCCCGTAGTCTACTTTGGCTATCCCGAGACCATGGGTCGTAGCTTGGAGGAGCTGGAAGTCATGTTCACAGAGGGCAAGAGCATTCCTGCCATCGTTAGCATGTCGCGTAAGCCTTTTACCGGCAGCATTGTGCCTGAGGATAAGCTCGAGAAGATTGGCAAGAATGTAAGCGAGGAGGAATTTGTATGAGGCTGCTTTGGTTGTATCGACGTTTTCCACGTTGAGTGAAGCTTGTGGCTTTTCATGTATACAAGACGAGTATTTAAAGACTGGCTACGCTACGATATTATGATTAATGGAAAAAAAACGAACGATTTATGTCAACGTGCCAGATCCATGTAAGAGACTACCGCTGATATGCATGTGAATGTTTTCCAGAATTTGAACTACTTGCATTCTTTATTATTCCCAGTTGTAGGTGTAAAGCTTAGGGTCAATTGACAGTGGACAGATTTTATCCACATGCACACCCCACTGATCGAATCAATAAGCTTTCCCCACGGAAGCTAAAGTGTTGAGGCGTCTTGGTTAGGACACACGTTTTAGCGCTTGGGAAGATGCAAGCGACATTGGGGGGAGGGAGGGGTAACTCAGCCGCTTTGACGATCCTATGATCCCTTCTGTGTAGGTGCACCCACACCCACAGCCCCCCATCGTCTACCACTTTCTTGTCCAAGGTTAAGCTTTAAATGCCTAGAATACGAAAACTTGGAAATCGGAAGTTTAGCTCTTTGTTATGATTGGCTCGAAGCGCGTCATTTGTTCGGCAGCAATCGGGACGGAGAGAAAAAGACGCTAAGCCCAGCCACCAATATCACATTTCCCCGCGTTCTGTATCACTATGGCCTAGTCAGTCTCCAAGGCGCACAGTAAGGCATAGTGCGTAGGTGGAGAGCAAAACATCCAGTGATGTGAGTTGATGAAATAGCCCACTGCGACTGTTGATCATTGGTATACATGGCCACTTTTGCAATACCGTCTTCAGCAATGCTACGTATGTGGCGCAGTGCAAGTTTCCCATGTTAGATTAGTGGGTGAGGTGGCTCTCCTGAGTATTGGTGCGCAGCACTTTGAGGTACAAGGCTTAGAAATACCCACGTGATAGGGTTCTAGCCAGATAGTGTCGGGGAGGGTAAGCCAGGGACCGGAGTACACGTGTATATATTCAAGACTGAAGTTAGGAGGTCATTAGAAACTTTATCTTAAAAAAGACATATATACTACACTAGTACATGCTTCTAAACTTTTACTTTACTCGAAGCCTTGAAAGTATATATTTGTTTTCATCAATTCCTAACCCAACAACATCCTATATATACTACCCCACTACGAACAGTATGACCTCGGCAAAGTCCAAAGCCAGTGAAAGTGGCACGTCAAAAAACGACACGGCAGGGACACCACCGGCCTACGATGGCTCCTCCACCTCCGATGCACCACCGACCTACGAATCCGTCGGACGCGCCCTAACGGCCCTCTCGCAAGGCGACCCAGACGAGTTCATCACAGTACCATTCATAACCCGAACCGTGGCCTTCAGCATCCACAACTACAATCCCTTTTCGCACAAGCAAGGCGAGGTCCGTCATTCCATTGTGACGCGCCGGATGAAGCGCTCGTATTACCTCGCCCACTACGTCAAGGACATAGACGGCAATTTTATCGGCACCGGCCGTCCGGCAGTAGATGCAGAGCTCGTATTTGTGCCGGGCAAGAGTAGCCCCGAGGACTTGCTGCGCCAGGTCGACGAGGTGGTGATCAAGGTGCAGAGGCTGAGGGCCAATGGCATTGGTGAATGGGGGAAGCCGTTACCGGATCATGGCGTAGGACAGGGCGGGGGTGGAATGGCTATGTAAGGTGTGTGTGCGGATCTTTTCTCTGTTCTTCGATTCGACAAGAACTGTTTGTATCGTTGGATGAATTGAGCGGTTTGTTCTTTTAAATGAGGTGGTAAATGAAATTCTCGATGCAAATAACGTGCGGGATCAGTAAGCTGGAAAGATCAGTAAGCTGAACGCCCCACCCAACCTGACGCGACTCTCTCCACAACCACCACAATGCCGCGACAACAACGCTCTATACAGACTTCTCGTGAAGGTAGAATAAGCCTT